AACTATTGGAATATAAACTTATAGTGGCAAGTAGTCCTAGTTACACACTAGATTGATAACCCCAAATTTGACAGTTCAAAGTGGGAGAAATTGTTGTTGTTAAGTGCCATCGAGTTGCAGGCGACTCATAGTGACCCTATGAAGGAGAGTCCTCAATGCTTGAGTGTTTTTCATCCTCTCTCCAGGTTCATAGGGTTTACGGAGGCAAGCTAGAATGGGAGTGGATGCCACTCTTCCTTTCAAGCTTGTGTTAATCGGGGAGCTCCACCTCACTCTCTGTCTGCATTGGGTAACCAACCATTAACACATTTGACACATCAGTGTCACAGTGTTCAGCCTCACAGCAACCACAAGTGACCACTGTATGGTAACTTGTACACCAGGGCTATATGACCTAGAGGAATGTCTGAATAAAAACAATGAAAGACAGGCCCGAGGGCCGTGGATTAAAAGTCACCCACCTTTGGCTTGGTAGCATCACTTTCTGTCCACTGAGCCAGCTTATCTCTCTCTATGTTGATGTTATTGTTGTTCAGTGTTGTCAAGTCGTAGGAGACTCATAGCAACCCATAAGAATCTATTATTATAAGGGTTGTCATCTTAGTTACCCTGTAGGGATGTTCGGCTGGGGTCCTGTGGCATCACTGTAAATCATGATTTGCTTGAGAGTGTTCAACAACAAACTAGAAAAAAATAGATTCATGTATAAGAAAGAACATAGACTTATAAGTTCTTTCTGATAAACATGCTTTAACATATGATATTTCTTTCACTTTCTAAAACATTTCTATATACCTTTTCTGTTTCAAAGTGTGCTCTAGTAGCCCGAGTGGACAAAAAGCTCACTGCCAACCCAAAGGGAGGAGGTTCAAATCCATCAGCAGAAAGATGTACAGTCTCTTCCCAAGAAGTTTATAGCCTCTGAAAACCCACTGGAAGATTAGCTATGAGTTGAGTCCAACTCGATAGCCCATAACATTTTTACTTAAATCTGTTGGAATTATGTAGGTAGTAACAGCCATGACTCAATCTACTCTATCCCTGCCTCCTTTGTTTCTCTTAGAAAATAAGCAGTTGCTGTTATGTATAATATTAAGAAAATGGGCATTGATTGATGAGTTGGTGATTTCATTTTATATTTTATTTTCATGTTTTACAAACTGTTAATGTCTTGATGAAGGTTATGACAATCACACACTGTTACACTTCATAGTTTGTAATATATGAAGTAAACGACTTTTTTATAGCAGTTAATTTAGAGGCTGTATTTCATTACATTCTCACTGACATTAGTAAAGAGAGTGGCATCTCAGTATTTTCATATTGGATCTTTTGGAATTGATTGTCTTTTCTAGATAGGGTGGCAATGTTTCCTTACTGAGTTTTTAGGACCATTTGTAGCCATCGGAAGGGAAAGACGATATCACAAATGTTCAGAAAGGGTGTTGGTATATTCTATAAAGGGGCTCATCATTGACTGGGAAGCGAAAAGATATGTATTAAACTCCTTGATGGTTTATGTTAATCTTTGCGTTTAAAAATCCCTTTGAAAACAAAACAAAAAAAAGGAAACACACAAAAATTTGCTCATTTTTGGTACTAGAATGAGAGTAGAGGCAAGATCAAGTGGTTTGTGGAGTCTCCTTCCCACGTGAATGCATCCGGATTCTGCTGGAGGGCCAGGCAGCAAATGAAGACAAGGCCCAGAGATTGTAACTTGTGTTATGCACATGACCCAAACTGAGGGCGACAGGAAGCTTTTCACAGAACTTGAAGGACTACAACCTTCAACATGGATTGCATTTCAAATGGAAAACAAAACTCCTCACCACTAGACCAATAGGCTATATCATTTTAAATGGAAAAAAGTTTGAAGCTGTTAATAATTTCATCTCATCTTGCTTAGATCCACTGTCAACACCCTTGACACCAACAGTCAAGAAATCAAAAGACAAGTTGCATTGGAAAAATTGGCTGTCAGGGACCTTGCCAGAGTGCTAAAGAGCAAAGATAAGTCTAAAGACTAAGGTGTGGCTGATCCAAGCCATAATTTATCAATTGCTTGCTATGCATCCAGGAACTGAACAATGACTAATGATGACAAAAGAATTATTGCCTTTGAATTATGGTACCAGAGAAGAGCATTGAGCATACCATGGACTTCCAAGAGAACAAACAGGTTTATCCTGGAGAGGATATAATCAGGTTTCTTTGGAGGCAAGGATTTTGAAACTCCATCTCGTATATTTTGAGTTTGTTTTCTTTAAAGTGACATCCTGACTCTTCAGTACTATAAAGAGGCTTTGCCAATGTTGCTGCTGTTGTTGTGTTGCGTTGAGTCGCCTGCAACTCATAGCAACCCTATGTACAACAGCCCCAAACTCTGCTCTATCCATGCCAATCTTATGGTCTCTGACACACCTGCCCTCATTACCTCAGTCTCTCAGTCAATCCATTCCATTGAGGGTCTTCCTCTCCTGCACTGTCCCTCAACCCTCCCAAGCATATCCAAATTATGTCTCCAAGGAGCAGCATGGCTTCACCCTCTCCAGAATGAACCTGTTTGTTCTCTTAGCACTCCATAGTATATTCATTACTCTTCTCCAACAGCACAGCTCAAAGGCATCAATTCTCCTTCTAAAACCCTAGTCATTGTCCAGCTCTCTGATGCATAACACGTGATTCCAAAGACCATGTAGGACCTATATCAGGCACACGTTAGTCTCCAGACTGACAGCATTGCTCCTTAGTGCTTGGAAAAGTCTCTGGCAGCAGACTTTCTCAACACAATATGTGTGTTACATTCCTGGCTGCTGGTGCCAAGAGTGTTGATTGTGGAGCCAAGCAGACTAAAGCTGTTTACAGTCTCAATCTCAATTGGCCCAGTGGAAAGATCATTAATTCTTGAGTGCTACATCTTTGGATGTTGATTATGAATCCAATAAAAATGAAATCTTTTCGCAACTTCAGTCTTTTCTCTGCTTATTATGATGTTGCTTAATCATCCATTTGTGAAGATTTTGCTGTTCTACTTGTTGATGTATAATCCTTGCTAACGTTTTCAGTCTTTAAAATTTTCATTTTCAACCAGTAATTTTGCTTCATTTGCATGTCTAATTTTGTTTCCACATTCTTCTTCATATAGCTTAGCTTCTCAGATTATTTGTCCAGCATCCACTTTTAATAGGAATGATGAAAAAATATAACCCTAAGACATTATCTTTTCTGATTTTAAACCATGCAGTATCTCCTTGTTCTGTTAACTTCTGTCCATATGACTTCTTTTTGGTCCATGTATAAACTGAGTACAACTCTATTAATTTGGTAATTCCCTTTTTTTGAAATGTTATTAATAACTTATTGTGATTCACACAGTTGAATCCCTTTGTTTAGTCGACAAAACACAAGTAAACATCCTTGTGATCCTTTCTTGCTGCTTTCTATTTTTAGCCCATCTTGAAGTTCTGGAAGTCCTCTGTCAGTGTCTTTCTCCAGCTGTTTCATTGTTTTGGTTTTCTTTTTTTGTTTTGTTTTGTTTTTAAATTATCTTCAGCAAAATTTTACTTGTTGCGACCCTTTATTATTAGTGGAATTTTATTTAGATATGCTGTTCTTGTTTTCTTTTTTGCAGTGGCTACTAATATGTTCCAGGCTGTTGGCCAGCTAATTGTCTTTCATGGTTATTGGCACAGATGAATGACTATATCCTATATTATATCTGTTCTTGGAAAGACTTCAAATGGATTCATTCAGTCCAATATTTGGGGTCTTGTTTTTCACCAATACCTTCAATGCAGATTGGATTCCTTCCTTCTTCTTTCAATTTTTGGTCATAAAATTGGGTCTTCATGCATGCTTCTGTATAGACCTTCTGTTCTTTTGACGCTGTCTACATTGTTCAATAATTTGCCCTTAGAGTCCTTCAAAACTGTAATATTTGGTTTAATTGTTTTCTTCAGTTTATTTAAGTTTGAGAATTACCAAATGTGTTTGTCTCTTTGTGTTATATAATTCTAGCTCTTTGAACATTTCATTGTAATTACTTGCTTTTATCTTCTTAATCTGTTCTTTGTATTCTACTTTAACCAGTGTAATTTTTCTACGTGAAGGCCCTAAATCCTTTCTAATGTTTCTAATATTTTGTTATCTAGAGAAATACATTGTTATTTTTAACCAACTTCAAATTACAGATGAGAAGTTTTTGTAAAAAGTCAATATTATTGAAACAAACATATGTTTTTAAAGTGGGTTTCAATATCAGAATGTCCTTTCATATTAATACTTTAAATTCAATAAATGTGGGATATATTCAGAAATTTTGAGAAATGCTGTGTACTAAAACCATTGCAAGGCAAAGTGGATGTGAAAATTTCCAAATTTTTAATATCTACACATAAATATGCTGAAAGATTTTTCCACAATAATACTGTTTTGTAGTCAAAGTTAAAATGCAATGTAATTTTTGTGGAGATTTTTATGAAGGTAATGGGAAAATATTCATAATTACTATGGGGTTATTTTAGTTCCAGAATTTGGACATTTATTTAGAAAAATTCTTTCCAGAATATGTATTAATGTGACATAAAATTTTTCTTTAAGCTCCATATTAATTAATCAACACTTTAGTATCTTCTGTCAATTTTATGTCTATCAATTATAAGAGGGATAAATCTATTAATGTAGATTGAAATATTAAGCACCTTATTTTAATTGGATTTTTAAAACCTTGCATTACTAATTTTATTTAAACCTAATTGCAAAAATGAAAAATATAATTGAATGGAAATAACAGTCTAATTTAGTGCTACATTTAAAGAAAGTACATGTTTTTTATTCTTTCATAAATATCTGAATAGTATTACTATGTAATATTCTTTTCAGGTAAAAAACTGATTAATAAAATCATCTTTTAAATTTTACTGTAATAAAGTAGGAACTTAATTTAACCCAGTACTCTGAAGTTTTACATTAACAGAAAGCTACCATGGTTGCTTCTCCAGAATACCACTAAATGTTAGAGACATCGTCTACTGCACAGGAGTTTCACTATTAGATGAGGATGTCTGGGAATTCATATGGATGAAGTTTCACTCTACCACAGCAATTTCTGAGAAGAAAATATTATTGGAAGCTTTAACTTGTAGTGATGACAGGAATTTATTAAATAGGTGGGTCAAGTAATTTTTTAATTCATTTGTAAATATGTAAAGCAAGTGTTCTTCTGTTAATTCAATTGCTCTGGAATTCTGGGTTGTGGGTTTGTTTTTGTTTTGTTTGGTTTTGTTTTCTTTATTACCTTGAATAAATGCCAGGTACTTAAAATACATTATTATCAAAGATTTTATAAAATGTTAACATAATTAGCGCTAGCTCATTTGAGGTCTGTGCATTTGTGTCTGTTAACATGTGTAGAATATATAGGCATGCACACGAAAATACTTCATTATTAAAGACTCTACTATTTTTGTTAAAAACCCCACAAACCCCACACGTTGAATACTGTTTCCCCAAACTAGAATTGTGCAACACCACTTCCTATGTGTTTAAAAAATTATAGTTAATATATTGATATTGTAATGCTATGTGTTTGACCCTTTCCCTTTTACAAGGAAACAATAGTCTACTGGTAAATTTATACTTGTAAATTTGACAGTGAACTCTTATTGAAGGATATGACAAATCAAATTATATACTTATTAGGAAGAGTATAAAATATTAATGTCTTGGATTTTGAAAATATCTTCAATTCTTTTCTTAAAGGCTTCTGAATCTATCTTTGAATTCTGAGGTAGTTTTGGATCAAGATGCAATTGATGTGATAATCCATGTTGCTCGAAATCCACATGGACGAGACCTTGCCTGGAAATTTTTCAGAGATAAATGGAAGATATTAAATACCAGGTAGATATACAAACCTCAATTATTAATACCTCAGTGAGTAAATTAATAATGATGTATTAGTCCCAGATTTTTGTCTTATAGTGAAGATCCAAGAAATAGGATTACATTTTAAATGAATCAGTCAAGATGGCAACCAAGTGGTGTTGCCATTATATAAAGAAAAGTCAGAATTCTTGTATAAGTTCTCTACCTTTTTCATTTACTAGTAATGGCTAACCACAATTGCTACTATATATAAAAGAGGATATACAAAAATTCTAGCAGAGCTACTTCCCTGTAAATTTATCATACTGTTCAAGGTTTACAGTAATCGTATCATAAAACTCCTGTGTCCTTAACGAGTGTTAAAAAAATCTACAAATCAAGTCTGACATTATAACAAGAAAACTTTAATTAGTGTACTTATTTAAAATGTACTTAAAATAGTTATACAAAATACCTGAGATAAACCATGATGCTGCAAAGGAACATTAATCAATATAAGTCACAGTGAGATTCTGGTTATAGCATAATACATTCCCAGCACATCTTGTTTCATAGTAAAATTTCTTCAGCCCCAACTTTACAAATATGTCATTAAGCATTTAAATATATTATAATACATGTTAATTTATTACTTTGATAATCTCTGTGGTATTTTAAAATTAAATTTATTATAGAGCATGTAAATGCTGCATGTTCTTTTCAAACTTAAATGTCCCCAGATGGTAAGCAGATCTACTGATCTTCCTCCTAAATATTGATATATAAATTGTATTCATTTTAAACATACGGTTATCAGCTGGTGCTGTTAGGAATTCTATTTAAATGGATGTGTCACTATAAAACACTTTCATGTAGAGATATTTCATTGTCAGAAGGCACTGATATTTCTAGATAGCCCATTGGCTCTTCTTTGATTTCACTTAAGAATGTGGAATGATTGGAAGTTCGCAGTTTGCTTTGCAGTTATACAAACAATAGATTGTATAGTCAGACACTTAAGTAAATTTAATATATTAAACACTTTAAATTGTATGAATGCATGAAAATTTCTTGAGGTATGCTATTATGAATCTGTAGTTTAATTTCTATCCAAAATATTTGTTTCTGGGTATGTCGGTTTTGTTCCGCTGAAAGTCAATAACCTCTGTCAAAAAGGTAAAACAATTAAAGTTTTAGTGTACCTGTAAATATAGGAGACATTTTCATTGCAACTAGGATTGTCTTATTGTTCTGTCTCTCCTTAACTACCAGTCTTAGATGTTGTACCTCTTGAAACCCGTGTCTTTTTACCTCTCTGCATATGGCACCTGATTTTAATTGATAATTACCATTATGGTTTCAGTCATTCTCGAATCAGTACCTCTAACCCACACATTTGGCCTAGCCTTCACTTCAGGATGCATTGTGCATCTCTAGGGGAGGTAGTTAGTAGAGAGCTAAACTCATCACCTTCCTTTTGACAGTGTTAAGTTGTTGTTGTTATGTGTCGTCGAGTCGTTTGCGACTCATAGCGGCCCTATGTACAACAGCCCTAAACTGTGCTCTATCCTGTGCCAATTTCATTGCCTCTGTCACACCCATCCCGATTACCCCAGTCACTGAATCAATCCACCTCATAGAGGGTCTTCCCCTCCTGCGCTGTCCCTCTACTCTACCCAGCATGATGTCCCTCTCCGAAGACCTGTCTCTCCTTACAACATGTCCAAAGTATGTCAGGAGAAGCCCCAGAATCCTTGCCTCCAAGGAGCAGCCTGGTTTAACCCTCTGTACTATGAATCTGTTTGTTTTCTTGGCAGTCCATGGTACATTCAGTACTCATCTCCAGCACCACAGTTCAAAGACGTCAAGTCTCCTTCTATCCTCCCTAGTCATTGTCCAACTCTCTGATGCATTACAAGTGATTGCAAAAACCATGGCCTGTATCAGGCGCACCTTAGTCTCCAGAGAGACACCGTTGCTCTTGAGTACTTTAGAGAGGTCCCTAACTGCAGACTTTCCCATCGCAATACGTTTTTTTATTTCCTGTCTACTGGTGCCAAGAATGTTGACTGTGGAGCTGAGTAAACTGAAGCTTTGAGTACCCTCAATCTCTTCGCCATCCATCCTGATGCTACCGATTGGTCCGGTGGTGAGAATTATTGTCTTCTTGACATTGAGCCTCAGTCCATATTGAAGGCTGCAGTCCTTGACCCTCTGCAATAAGTGCATGAGATCCTCCTCAGTTTCAGCGAGCAAAGTTGTGTCATCTGCATAACTCAGATTGTTGATAGATCGTCCACCAATCCTAACGTCACGCTCTCCTCATAGAGCCCAGCCTCTCCAATAATCTGCTCTGCATACAGGTTGAAAAAGTATGGAGATAGGACACATCCCTGACATACACCCTTCCCAATGATGAACCAGGCAGTGTTGCCCTGCTCTGTTCTGACGACTGCCTCTTGGCCCAAGTATAGGTTTCGCATTAGCACAATTAAATGTTCTGGGATTCCCATTCTTCTCAGTGTTAAGTAGAAAGTCTAAATGCTCTTTTTTGAGAAGCTCTTTTGGCTGGTTGAGGCTCATCAAATCAATATTGATTCATGTACAAAAAACCTATGTATTGATTCATAGAGACCCCAAGAGGTGCAGCCTTCTCAGGTTTTCGCTGTACACACCAATCTGCATAAACACAGGTGACAGATATTTCAAGAATAATGTCTGAATGTGGATCATAGGGGCCTAGAGGTAAGGAGAACGAGACTGCTTTCTGTATTTCAGTCATAGCCTGCTGTTGTTCAGATCTTCGCTCAAATAGGGTTTTCTTTCAGTTAACTTTATAGATGGGAGCTATCAACATCCCAAAATGTGGGCGATTAGTCCTCCAAAATCCAAGTAGATGAAACAAATTTTAGGCCTCCTGTTTAGTTTTGAGAATAAGTAATAACAATAGCTTGTTTCGATTGCCTATGGGATTTCACAAGTGGCTTCTGCCAGGTTTTTTTTCCCAAAATTTTAATATTTGGATAGGACCCTGGATTTTTGCTGGATTTATCAATCGAGGTCCATTGGTCATGTGGGAAACCACTGTTTACATGTTCTTAACATGTTCTTCAATGTTTTATGTTAATATGATATCATCAATGTAATGTGTAATTATACTGGATATCAGGATCAAGTACAAATTTCTTCTAATCAGGTGATAACAGTAGTGCGGTAAATTTACATAACTCTGTGGTAACACTATAAAGGTCATCTGAGATCCTTCTCATGTGAAAACTAACTGTGGCTGGATTCTAATTTTCTGATTCTGGAATGTAGAAAAAACTATTTGTAAGATCTATCACTGAGGACCAGTCCCCTTTGTTATGCTATATTTTCTGCACCACTGACAACATATTGAAGACTGCTGAAGTCTCACAGGTGGCAGTGTTAGATGAGTTTTGGCTGAAAGCAAGAGTACCAGAGAAATGTCTGTCTGTCTTTCATTGACTATGCAAAGTTATTTGACTGTGTGAGTCACAACAAACTGTAGCTGACTCTGAGAAGAATGGGAATCCTGGAACACTTGTTCATGCATATGTGAAGTATTATGTAATAAGGAAACCTATACTTGGACCAGGAGGTAGTTGTCGGAATAGAGCAAGGAAACACTGCATGGTTCAAAACTGGGAAGACTGTATGCCAGGGATGTGTCCTATCTCCATACCTTTTCAATTTATATGCAGAATAGATTATGTGGGAGACTGGGCTTTATGAGGAGAAACATAGCATCAGGATTGGAGGAAGACTCATCAACAATCTGCGTTATGCAGGTGACACAGCTCTGCTTGCTGAAACTGAGGAGGGCCTAAAGCACTTGTTGCAGAAGATCAGGGACTGCAGCCTTAATTATGGATTGAAGTTCAACATCAAGAAAACAAAGATTCTCACCACTGGACTGATTCACAACATCATGATAGATGAAGAGATTGAGATTCTTAACTGTTTTAGTTTGCTTGGCTCCACAATCAACACTTTTGGTACCAGAAGCCAGGAAATTAAAAGATGCATTTCACTGGGAAAGTCTGTTGTCGGAAACCTCTCCATAGTACTGAAGAGCAATGATGTCAGTCTGGAAATTGAGGTGCACCTTATCCAGGCCATAGTCTTTGCAATTACTTGCTATGTATCAGAGAGCTGGACAATGAGTAGGGATGACAGGAGAATTGATGACTTTGAGCTATGGTGCTGGAAAAGAGTTTTGAATATACCATGGACTGCTAGGAGAACAAACAGGTTCGTCCTAGAGAAGATGAGACCAGGCTGCTCATTGGAGACAAGGATTCTAAAGCTTTGTCTGACATATTTTGGACATGTTGTAAGGTGGGTGTAGTCCTTGGAGAAGTTTCATCATGCTTGGGAGGGTGAAGAGACAGCACAAGAGAGGAAGACCCTGGTGAGATGGATTCGTTCTGTGACTCAGGTAATGGTGGTATATGTTTCAGAAACAATAAGATTGGCACAGGATAGAGCAACATTTAGGGCTGTTGTTTATGAACACATGTGACTCAATGACACATAACAACAAGTCTACAATTAATCTCTATGAGTCATCTGCCTTTTTTCTAAGTCACACATAGCTGTTAAACAGAGGATTTTTGGCCACCAACATTCCAGCCATTGTTGTTGTTTTCAGGTGCCATTGAGTTGAGTTATACTCATAGAAGCTATATGAACAAAAAGATCTGAACTCTGTTCTATCCTGTGCCTTCCTCACACTTCCTGACAGACAAGATCCCATTGCAGCAGCCACAGTGTGAATCCACCTAGTTGTGAGTCTTCCTCTCTTTCGCCGACCCTCCATCATTCTCATCAGCGTGTCTTTCTCCAAGGAATAGCCCCTCCTAGCAACATGCCCAAAATATGCGAGGCAAAGCCTCATCATTCTTGCTTCCCAAGACCTATCTTTTTGTTCTCTTGGCTGTCCATGAGATGTTCAGTGCTCTTCTCCAGCACAATAGCTCACAGGTGTCAATTCTTTTTTCTGTCATTTTTAT